GTGCTAGTATTGATAGGTATGTGGTGATACTTGTCATTTAGTTGTCTTTGTTGATCGAGGGTTTGATTGTGTGCATCTGAATCAGTGTTGCTTTCTACTTTCTTGCCTTTTCTTCTCCTGTGGTTTGGTATTGCCTGCCCTTTCATGGTTTTGTTTGCTTTCATTTTCTGTGTGCAGAATTCCTTAGAGAATCGAAAAGAAACTACTTTTACTTGTGAAAAATTTTATAGATGAATGCTTATTAAGTAACAATTACTGATATTTTGTGTGTATTTTGTAGTGTCTGTTTCTCTGAGAAAAATGATTAATCTTTTCTCTTTAATAATACTTTTAGCCACTTGCTTTTTTTTTTTTTTTTTTGATGGCACAGGAGTTTCAGCTCAGGACTTCATGCTTACAAAGCCAGCACTCTTTTTTTTTTTTCTTTTATTATTCATATGTGCATACAAGGCTTGGGTCATGTCTCCCCTCTGCCCCCTCCCTCTCCCCCCCACCCCCTCAATACCCAGCAGAAACTATTTTGCCCTTATTTCTAATTTTGTTGTAGAGAGAGTATAAGCAATAATAGGAAGGAACAAGGTTTTTGGGTTGAGATAAGGATAGCCATACAGGGAGTTGACTCACATTAATTTCCTGTGCATGTGTGTTACCTTCTAGGTTAATTCTTTTTGATCTCACCTTTTCTCTAGTTCCTGGTCCCCTTCTCCTATTGGCCTCAGTTGCTTTTAAGGTATATGCTTTAGTTTCTCTGCGTTGAGGGCAAAAATGCTAGCTAAATTTTTTAGGTGTCTTACCTATCCTCACCCCTCCCTTGTGTGCTCTGCTTTTATCATGTGCTCAAAGTCCAATCCCCTTGTTGTGTTTGCCCTTGATCTAATGTCCACATATGAGGGAGAACATACGATTTTTGGTCTTTTGGTCCAGGCTACCCTCACTCAGAATGATTTCTCCAATTCCATCCATTTACCAGCGAATGATAACATTTCGTTCTTCTTCATGGCTGCATAAAATTCCATTGTGTATAGATACCACATTTCTTAATCCATTCGTCAGTGGTGGGCATCTTGGCTGTTTCCATAACTTGGCTATTGTGAATAGTGCTGCAATAAACTGTGTGCAGGTGCCTCTGAGTAACCTGTGTCACAGTCTTTTGGGTATATCCCCAGAGTGGTATTGCTGGAATCAAATGGTGATCAATGTTAGTTTTAAGTAGCCTCCAAATTTTTTTCCAGAGTGGTTATACTAGTTTACCATTCCCCCAGCAGTGTAGAGGGTTCCTTTTCCCGCATTCCTCGCCAACACTGTGTGGTGGTGTTGCTAATTGATGGCAAAGCCAAGCACTCTTACGTTTGAGCATACCTCCAATCCATTTTGTTCTGGTTATTTTGTACCAAGAGATGAAAGTCTCTTGAACTGTTTTTCCAAGCTGTCCTCAAACTTCTATCTCAGCCTCTCAAGTAGCTAGGATTACAGGTGTGAGTCACAGGTGCCAGACCTGATTTAATGTCTTGTGCTTCTATTCTTTTTTGGGGTACTGGGGGTTTGAATTCAGAGCGTCATGTACTTGCTAGCAGGCACTCTACCACTTCAGCTACTCTTCCAGCCATTTGCATTTTTATGGCATTATCTTTCATATAGGTAATAATGTGAAGAATAAAATTAAAAAGTAGTATTTTTATGATTTTTCTCTTTAATTAGAGAGCTTTGAGAATAGAAATTGGGTGGTAGTAGTATGTAGCTCAGAGTAGAGTGTGTGCTTAGCGTGCACAAGGCCCTGGGTTCAGTCTCCAATATCCAAAAAAAAAAAAAAAAGAAAAGAAAAGCAGGTGCCATTAGTATTGTAGTTCATGACATAAAGTATACTTTACACTTATGTTTCTGTATAATGTATGTTATTTTCTCTTCCACAGACTTCCTTTACAGATGTTCGTGATCCTTCTCTGAAACTTGCTGAATTTAAATTGGAAAAATATTATAAGTACCATAAAAATGAATACAGATGACTCAGTATTCTCTTCTTTTTCATTCAAAAAACTGTATTTTAGATGATAAGAGACCTCATGTCAAGAAAGCAACCTAGTGTGTTTTGAGTTTTTTGCTTGAGAAATGGTTAATAAGTTTTTTAGAGCTTATCTCCAAAGTGCATTTCACTTTCTGTACACATGTGAGGGATCGTCAAAGTTTCAGTTCAATTAAAGTAATGGTACTTACTTAATCTTTGAAAGTTTCTGGTTCGGTTATGTTCATTCTTACTGGAGAGTTGATGGAGCGGTTAGATAAATAGAAATAATTAGTGTGATTAACTGGGAAATGCATGAGAAAATTAAGAAAAAAATATGCCAATGTTCAAAATTCTGATAATTTCTCTAGACATGCAGTTTCCAGTTATGTAGCAATTATGTTTCACAAGTTTATTGAGTATTTGCAGATCCTAGAGCTAAGTTCAGAATGCTTATTTGCTATCAGTGAAAAGAATGTATTTTGGTTTTAGTGTTACTCATATGTAGTTGTTATTATATTTTTGCAGAATGATAGTCTGGACTGTTGGATTTGACAAAAAGGACATGATGGACGTAAAATACAAACAGTAAAAGATGGTTATGTAACTGATGCGTATTTCAAGAAATGTAATTTGTGCAAGTGTTGGAATTTCTCCTGACTGTGCAAATGTCTTTTTGATGCCTACACCACAGGCACTGCTGTAGAAACCAGTGTTCAAACATGGACTTCAAGGAAGAGGTTATTATCAGCTAAAATATGTAATATCTATGTTACTGAAATGCTACAACTGAACATACCTTGATTATCAGCTTCTTAGATGAGAGTAAATCCATGCGTGAAAAACTGTAGAGTAGGAGGAAGACCTTAATATTTTTTCTGGAAAGATAAGACATTTTCATTTGTTGAAGGTGCCAATATTGGGTTAAAAAATTACGAGATTTTTTTGTTTAGAACAAGTCATTTTGCTTATCTGTAGGCAGTAATTTGAACAAATTTATTGGTGGAATAAAAGAAGCAGGGGAATTTTGGACCCTACACTCTTTTTTATAATTAAAGACAGTATTTTAATTTAAGGCACTCTCTAAGATATTTATTTGCAGCTTTTAGTATATAATTTTTCTTTTATTTTTACTTTTTCAATATGGGGATTGAACCCAGGGCCTTACACTTGCTAGACAAGTGCTGTACAACTTGAGCCAAGCCTCCAGCTCTATTATCTTTTTACATACTCATTTTATAGTATAAAAAATATCAAATTGAGAGTTGGAAACTAGATAAGTTCCAGTTCTGCCTTTAAATGTGAGTTTTTTTCCTCATTTTAAAAATGTTCCTAGAAATCTTTATTAAGTGGATTGCATGTACTTAGCATATGCTTAGCCTTGGTACCATTTAAATAAAAAGAGTTGCAATAGATGTTTTTGGGATCTGAGTCTTTTGTTTTACTTAGAATGAAGTAACTAACATTTTGTCATAAGTAATAAATTACTCATAAATAATATAGCAAATACATGTATTAAATTTTTATTTTATTTCAATATTAGTACTTGTACAGGAACCAATGAAGTGGGAAGTGAATATCTTATTAAAAATCCTGAAATTGTGTTGTGGCTGACATGACAAGAAATGATGCTCCAGCCTTATCATTACAACACAATGTGAATTTGCTGTAAAGGTGACCTTGAAAACACAGTACAATGACTGCTGCCATTAAAGATCTCCAAGTTAGAGCATGCCCATTTCTTCCAGTCAAGAGAAAGGACAAAATCACTACTGTGAGTCTGCTATTTAATAATCTGCTTAATGTAATCTAGTTTGGATTTACTGTATGCCACTTTAGGAAATGAAAATTACCTGCATTCATTTTTTTTTTAATTTTTATTTTATTCATATGTGCATACAATGTTTGGGTCATTTCTCCCCCCTTCCCCCCCCCCCTCCATTACCCGCCCCGTTCCCTTCCCTTACCCCTCACTGCCCGGCAGAAACTATTCTGCCCTAATCTCTAATTTTGTTGTAGAGAGAGTATAAGCAATAATAGGAAGGAACAAGGGTTTTTGCTAGTTGAGATAAGGATAGCTATACAGGGAGTTGACATGCATTGCTTTCCTATACATGTGTGTTACCTTCTAAGTAATTCTCGAACAACCTTTTCTAGTTCCTGGTCTCCTTCTCCTATTGGATTCAGTTGCTTTAAAGTATCTGCTTTAGTTTCTCTGCATTGAGGGCAACAAATGCTATCTAGTTTTTTGGGTGTCTTACCTATCCTCATACCTTCCTTGTGTGCTCTCACTTTATCATGTGATCAAAGTCCAATCCCCTTGTTGTGTTTGCCCTTGATCTAATGTCCACATATGAGGGAGAACACACCATTTTTGGTCTTTGGGCCAGGCTAATTTCACTCAGAATGATGTTCTCAAATTCCTCCACATTTACCTGCGAATGATAACATTTCATTCTTCTTCATGGCGCATAAAATTCCATTGTGTATAAATACCATATGTTCTTAATCCATTTGTCTGTAGTGGGCATCTTGGCTTTTTCCATAACTTGGCATTGTGAATAGTGCTGCAATAAACATGGGTGTGCAGTGCCTCTGGAGTTAACCTGTGTCACATTCTTTTGGGTATATTCATTCCAATCTTGTTCTTTAAATACCTTCCTTTCTGGTTGGAGAGCCAAAATTAGAATACTATTATTCGAGCTTTAACATTTTTCATTTTTCCATATGTTCTTCTTTGTTTATATTTATGGGAGTATTCTCACCAAAAAGTTGCTTTTATCTTAACACTTTTCAGCTAGGATCTTATTTTGACTTTCAAAATGCTATTTGACCTTTAAGGCTTTCTACATATTGTTTGCTGTGTTGTTTTGATTTTATTAATTTTTTTCTCCTATTTGGATGTTTTTGCTCACATAATGTGTGTTTACTTGTCTCCGTATAAGTTATTTCAGCTTTCAGACATTTGCTTTGACATACTTCATATTTTAATTTTCCTCTTAGCGATATTCTTCTGGGTTTGCTTTGTTTTTCCAGTGCTGGGGATTGAACATAGAGCTTCACACATGCTAGACAAGCACTCTACCACTGACCTAGTCCCCAGCCCTTGAATTTTACTCTCTGCAGTAGCTGCTTGGGCTTTTAAGCATGGTAGAGCCACACTTACCATTTTTTAGGAATATGGTATAATGGTTATATCATAAAGCAGGGAAGCTAGGCCCTTTCCATCATCTTCTATTCCTAAGATACAATTTAACCTGCTTGCCCAAAGATAGTTTAAGCATATCTCTGATATCCTGTTGGGAATGACTGATGTGATAAGGAGAGAACATGTAGGGGATACCTCTTCTCCCTAACAGCCCTATCCAGCAGTTGCACATACCCCTTCGGTCTTATCCCTCTGTCTAGAATTTAGTTATATGTCAACACACAGTTTCAAGTGAACCAAACAAATTCGGTTTTTCCCAACAGTCAAGATGCTTGCCTGATTCTCTTCATTATGCGTTTGTTTTTCTGTTTTAATAGTTGCTGTTCTGTTTTCTTTAGGTTGAATTGTTAGTTTTTTAGCTTATTTTGTGTGTGTGTATGTATGTATGTGAATGTTCTTATGCACGCTAGGGACTAAATGCAGGTCCTCACACAAGCTAAGTAGAGACCACTGAGCTTATACCCAAGTCCCTTTTTCTAATTTCTTTTTTTTTTTTTTTTTTGCAGTACTGGGGTTTAAACTCAGGACCTTATCCTTGCTAGGCAGGCGCCCTTTCACTTGAGCCACTCTGCCAGTCTCTTTTTGTTTGCTGTGTATTTTAGAGATAGGGTATCAGGAGTTATTTGCTTAATAAACCTCAATCCTCCTTAAACCTCAATCATCCGGATCTCTACCTCCCAAGTAACTAGGATTATAGATGTGAGCCACTGGTACCTGCTCCCTTTTTCTCATTTCTTGACAAATGTTTAGACAATTGATTTTTATCCTTTTTTTTAAGTTTATGCATTTAAAGGTCTAATTTTTCCTTTAAATTCAGAATTAGCTGTTTCTCTAGTTTGTTGTTATTGTTGTGCTACAGATTGAATCCTAGGCTTGCCCCTCCCTCCACTAGTTTTGATGTCTTGTGGTTTTCATTATTCCATTAAAATATTTTCTTATAGCTTGTTTTATTTTTTACCCATGTGTTAGAAGGATTCTGTTTAATTCCTGTATACCTTCAGGTTTTTATTTATAGTTTTGGTCTTAATTTCAGTGAGATATTTTAACATACTCTGATTTTAGTCCTTTGAAATTTGTTGAGACTTGTGTTATTGCCCAGGACATGATTAATTTTGTTTCTGTGAAAGTTTAACATACATAAAATATATTTGTTGTTTGGAATGACATTCTGTTTTGGTCAGTTTTACCCATAATGTTGTTCAGATCATGTATGCTAAAGACTTTTTTTTTTTAGTCTATTTGTTTTATCAGTTATTGAAAGAGATCTGTTATAATCTATTTTGGTTGTGAATTTAGGAAGTTGTTGCCTATGCCTATATGTTCCAGTGTACTTCCTACTGTTTCCTGTAGTTGTTTAAGTTTCAGGCCTTATATTAGGTTTCTGATCTACTATGAGTTGATACTAGTACAAAGTGAAAGCAGAAGTCTAGTTTCAGTCTTCTACATGTGAATATCCAGTTCCTACACTGAATTTTTGAAGGCATCAACCTGTAGGATAGTATCATCTTTGCTTTTCTGCCGAGTGTACATTGATTTATTTCTGACTTTATTTATTAATTTTTTTTGGTGGGACTTTGTTTGCAAGATTTCATGCTTGCAAAGCAGGCACTCTACTGCTGGAGCCACACCTCCAGTCCATTTTTCTTTGGTTATTTTGGAGATGGGAGATGGGAGACTCACCAACTATTTGGCTGGGCTGGCCTCAAACTGTGATCTTCCAGATCTCAGCCTTCCAAGTAGCTAGGAGTATAGGCATGACCACCAGTGCCTGATCCATTTTCAAATCTTAAGAAAAGTAAAATCATAATGTCGGTGTTTATTTTATATGTATTGTGAATGTTACCTTTTTCGTGAATTTATATCTGTAACTGTCCTGCACTTAGCCTACACACTTTATTTATTTATTTATTTGAAGTATTGGGGTTTCTTTTCTGCAGAGGACTTTTCTTTTTCCAGGTAATGGGGTTTGAATTTAGAACCTTGTGTTTGCTAGGAAGGTGACGCTCTCCCTTGAGCCATGCCCCTAACCCTTTTACACAATGTTTTGATTGATGCTAGGTTTTTCTCAAAATTATTTGCAAATGTTATATTCTTGCTTGTTCCTTGAATGCCATTAAGAATCCATCCTTATCGTTCCCATTGATGTGAAATGATATTATAATGCTTAATACTTGCTTATAATTCTGTGTGTGTAAGACCTTTAGTATGTTAAGAACTAATGTTTTCCATATTTAATTCTAAATGTAAAAAAATATTGATTGTGAATAAGTGTGGAATTGTATTGTGTATGAAAGAACTACCATAGTTTTTCCTACTAGGATAAGTTACACTGATAGTTACTCCTAGAGTAGCCTTATATTTATGAGTTAATTCTAAATTTGAGGATATTTTAATTCATTCTTATTATTTTGTTTGCTAAGAATATTTTAGGATTTTATAACAGAGGAATAAAACTGTTCTATTGGGTGGCGTGCCCATGGGAATGATATTTGTACTGGTACCTGAAGGTTAAGCCTGGGCAGGGGGAATCATAGAAGTATGATTCATACTCCTATGCATTCTAGGAAATACACGTTTCTACTCCATATTTACTCAGATGCTAATGTCTGCACTCATGTTTAACCTTTCCTCTGGTTGTTAAGTGCTCCTCAACTTGGAGCAGTCCATCCCACCACCAAGTTAATGCTTAGAAAGTAGTGAGTTTATAGTGAGCTTTTGTTAGGTGTCTGTCAATGCTCTATACGTGCTTCTGAGATGCTTCTTTGAAGGGGAAGCAGTAGCAGCATCCATATTAAAAATGATATAAGAAAGGGAGTAATATGGTGAAAGTTAGAGTAGGAAGAATAAAAAATGGTAGAAATAACACAAAAGTCACAGTGGGTGTACTTGGAGATCAAAGTAACACTAGCAGGAAAATAATTTTAAGAAAGGATTCTACAAAATGAAGTTATATTATATGGACTGTATTATGGAAAACTTGCCTGTAATATAACTGTGGTGAGAATATACTCTGTTAAGAGCTAGCTACATTTTCAGTTCTAGGGAATTAACTAGACAGTGGATTTGGGGAAGAAATTTGGTGAGAAAATGCAAATACATGTAAAAGGTTCTTACAACTTGAAACATTTTAATTAGCTTTTGGTCCAATTGAAACCAGGAATTTCCTTTAAGCTCCTCCCCCACCTCAAACCCTTGGTTTCAAATGGACCAAAAGCCAATTAAGATGTTTCAAGTCGTAGAAACCTTTTATGTGTTAGTATTTTCTGGATTTTCTTTCATTTTTGCCATATGAAGATGAAGCGATAACACAATTTTCTTTTGTTGAGAATCTAGGATTATGTATTGTAATGTAGTTATACTTTCCTATCCTTAAAAATTAAAAAATAGTATACTGAATTTTAAGTCATATGCCAGTTGATCTTGCTCATTTATGTGAGATTTCCTGGTAAATGGCCTTAGGTTTTAATTTTTCCTTATTAGTAACAAGCAGAATTGCAAGGTGGCCTCCCAAGTTTCTGTCCCCCGGAGTGTGCACATACATGCACACAGTAGTATTTTCTCTTATAGAGTATGGGCTGGAACAGGGGATATGATTATGTTACTAATCAATTGAGTTTGAGTTCATCAGAGGTAGATTGTTCTTGTTGAAACAACAGAGAAATAGTTGAAAGATGGTTTAGGATCAGGGAGATACTCTTCTGCTGGCTGTTAAGGAGTAAACTGCCATACTATCAAGAGAGCCTAGGAACAACCAGTGGGAACAGAAAGTGGTCCCTGGCTGACAGTAAGCAAGTTGAAATCTACTAACAACTTGAAAGTAGATCTTTACCAAGTTAAGCCTTCATACGAGGGCAGAACATGTCTGCCCTGATTCCAGCAGAATTCCAGACCCACAGAACTGGGAAATAAATCTACATGTATTGTTTTAAATCACTAAGTTAGCAGTAATGTGTTACATAGCAGTAGAAAAATAGTGTGCAGATTTTTTGACAGTTGTTTAAAACGTGGAAGGAACTTTGGAACTGGGCAGTAGGCAGAGGTGGGCAGAGGCTGGAAGAATTTTGATGACTAGGATAGAGTAAACCTAAATTATGTTGAACACACTCCTAGTAGAAGTGTGGTCGTTGAGAACACTACTAGTAAGGGCTCAGAGGGTGGACATAAAAGACATATTGAAATTTTAGGAGATGAGGGACTTTATATATAATGACAGAAACCTTTCCAGAAATTTTCTAGTAGGTTGTGTGCAGAGTAGAACTTCAAGTGAAAAACTTTCTTGTATATATAACAAAGGAGATTTCCAAGTTCCCTGGTTTCTTGCTTTTGATAACAAAAAGGAAAATAAAAGGTGGACTTCGTGGGAAGAACATTTAAGGAAAAAGAACCAGGACTTAATGATTTTGATAATTCTCAGTCTTTCCAAGTGGCAAAAACTGCTAAGAGTCAGAAATGGGTGCCAAAAGTATAACTTAGAGAGAAAAGATTGTATGATTGTACAACCTTTTGCTAGAAAATTTAAAAGAAAAAGTAAGTATCTTGGCTAGGGGAGTACAAGTTACAGATGGCAAAGGGTCCGGGATCTGCCTAACTCCGTGGCTCATGCTTAGGATCTTTCATGAGATTTCAACAAAGCTTTCGGCTGAGGTGTTTGTCTTCTGAAGCTTCACTTGGGCTGGTGGATCTTCCTCAGTTCATTCACATAGCTATTGGCAAGAAGCTTCAGTTCCTTACCACATTGGCCTCTCCTTGCTATTACATAGCTTCTGCTAGCCAGTGTGAGCGGCCAAAAAGAAGAACGGTATCATTCGTGATGGAAGCTGAGTGACTTAGAGAGTGTACCTCAGAAGTGAAGAAATAATATATATTTTATTGGTCACACATGCTAAGACTAATACAATGTACCGATCATTGTGAGCCATCTTCCGGGATGACTGTCATGTACAGCTAAGACTTATAGTGCCATTAATATGTGCCAACAAACTAATGAGGTTAAAAAAAAAAAAAGCTGCTCTTAGGTGATTCTCGGTGCTAAATGTATTGACCAACTTACTTTGTTATGATGAGTATTCATTCTGATTTCCTGTGCTCATGCCCAACCAGTTGCTAAATATGTGGTTATCATTGCTGGATTTGATACTGTTATCCTCATTTTGCAGGTGTGGAGTGTGAGGTTTCTGTACCCTAGTTCCTTCTCATATAAGTGCTAAAACTAGCAAGTAGGGGGAAAATGTTTCTGCTAAATTTTACTAAATTAATATTATAGCTAATAAAATTGTTCATACTTTCTATTATAAAGAATGAATTAATAGAATAAGAAGTGTGTTGTCACTTTTTATAGTTATTTACTAATTATTTAACATCATTAGCTATTACTAAGAAAGTCTCCAAGTAGACATCTTTTAACATTAATTTAGTGGTATTGATTTTTCTGTTGTAGGTTTTACAGCCCTGTGACTTGTTTTATCAGGCTACTCAGATAGGTACAGGTCCACAAGCAATTGATATATCAGTAAAATCTCTTACGCTGAAGGTAAGCTAACATATACTCATTCAAATCTTTTGCATACTTTTTAAAACAAATAATTATTATAGCAAGTCTTATACTTGTTAAATAAACATAAAGATGAATTTGGTTTTGAAAACATTTTTATGAGACTTTTAAAAATATATATACATTTTATGATTAATATGATCTTGTATTTTGTTATAGACATTTGACTGCTTTTGTAGTTAATTCTAATATTCCTGTCGTGTACACTTGATCAATTTGATATTTACAAGATCCATGTAAATATTTTAGCAAACTGAAGTTACAAATTAAAATTCTTTCATAGACAATAAATTATATCTACTATATTGTGGCACTGTTGGTTCATTTTTACTTCCTCCTGACCATTCAGCAAGTATATTTAATATATCTTCCAATACTTTTTCTTTTCTACTTAGGTTTCACCAGTTATCATAAATACCATGATTACTATAACTTCAGCACTTTATACAACTAAGGAAACCATCCCAGAAGAAAATGTTTCTTCTATCTCACATTTATGGGAAAAGAAGGATACAAAGAATTTAAAAATGTGGTTTCTTGAAGAATCAAATGAAACTGAAAAAACTTCTCCTACAGCTGAATTGGTGCCCAAAGGAGAGATGATGAAAATGAACATTGACTCTATTTTTATAGTTCTTGAGGCTGGAATTGGTCATAGAACAGTGCCTATGCTTTTGGCAAAGTCAAGTTTTTCAGGAGAATGCAAAAACTGGAGTACTCTAATAAATCTCCACTGTCAGATTGAGCTAGAAGTAAGCATCTGTAGTATTTTTCAGTTTTCATAGCAAATAATGCTAACATCTACAAATTTGTGCCCTTGAATGGTTGTTTTTATGTGTACCTTATTTTTACTTCTAAAGTATGTATCTATTCCAATTGATTTTATCTGATGGTGATATTAATAGACTTGATTGGATTCAAAATTCTTGTTTTTAGGAGTTAAAATTGAATAACTTTCCCTTTAAGAGGGTAGTAGACTAATTTTAGGAATATATGGGTTACTTTTAGTAGTAATATAAAGAATTGGAACAAACATTTTACTTCCCAGTTTGTCTACATAGAATAATTTCCAGTGATATTTTGGTTAAATTGACTCCACATTTATTGGAAAGTAATCTGATAATTTGCCTTACAAACGTGAGTATGAAAATTTATAAGATTTTATATTTACGTGTGTAGTACAGAGTTACGTAGTGACAGGTATAACTGATGGTGACTAGATTGCAAATTTTCAAATTATGGTTGGAAGTTTGTATATCTTGCAGGGGATTTAATCTAGGATTTACAGGAGATTTGGGACGTTGATGTACTGGTGAATCATGGTACTTGCCTTCAATGGCTTTTAGTCAGTGAATGTAAACAGAAAA